CGAGCGCAGCTTACTTCCTGGTTTTAGGATGCGTCACTACAACACTAAGTTGATGCGATTTGATTGGATTGTGAGGCAAGGGAAGCCAGCCGCCTCTGGCTTCCCTTGGCATGGCCCTGACCAATCACAGGTTGGCAGGGGCATGACGTGAGCCTCATCTGATTGGTCAATCCCTCCATTTTTTTTCACCAAGGGAAGCCAATTTCGGCTGGCCTCCTCTCGAAACAGAGAGTGCAATCTACTGTTTCACCATAACATCGACAGGGGCACTGTTTCACTCTTTGTAAAATACTCAATGAGAATGGGGGGGGAGACGGGCCGGCAGCAACACACAACAAAGAATTTCCGAAACTAAACGAAGTGTTTTTATTTATTTATTAAAATTATAACTACAATCCAAAAAAACAGGGGAAGCCTGGCTTCCCTTGGCCTCCAGGAGAAAACGCCACTGCTTATCACAAACCCCAGGTAGAAACACTGACATCAGTGGACTCATCAAGGAGGAGGCTGAAACGCTGGTCACCCACATCTGCGACCAACTTTTTCAGGAAGTATGGTGCTAGAACACCTTTATCATCTCGGTACAATGGGTACTAAAAGTACAATGGGAGCCAGAGCCTTTTCTTATCAAGCTCCACATTTGTGGAATCAGCTTCCAGTTTGTGTTCGGGCGGCAGACACCCTATCCGTTTTTAAGAGTGCGCTTAAGACCTTCCTTTTTGATAAAGCTTATAGTTAGGGCTGATTAGATTCAGCCCCTAGTTTTGCTGATATAGGCTTAGTTTGTCGGGGGACATCTTACTTCTTCCTTCTCTCTGTCTATACCTGTGTACTCATGTTCCGATTAACCCAGCTTCCCCAAATGTCTTTCTTTTTGGTGTCTATATACGCCGGGATCCGGAGTCATGGATGATCCTGCGCTCCTCTGTCCTGGATCGCGAGCCCTGGATCTTGAGTCGTGGCTGTGGTCCTGGATCATAGGTCCTGGATGGATATCCTCGTGGATTCATCTTCCTATTATACACACATGCATTTCCAAACATTTGGACTACCTATGTTGCAAATGTATTATCTTTTCAATTTACACACGGCATCTATTGCACGTCTGTCCGTCCTGGGAGAGGGATCCCTCCTCTGTTGCTCTCCCTGAGGTTTCTCCCATTTTTCCCTTTAAACTGTGGGTTTTCTCCGGAAGTTTTTCCTTGTACGATGTGAGGGTCTAAGGACAGAGGGTGTCGTATTGTCATACTGATATTTTGTACAAACTGTAAAGTCCACTGAGACAAATGTAACATTTGTGATATTGGGCTATATAAATAAACATTGATTGATTGATTGATCTCGGTGCACTTTGTCCGATGCAGCCGTGGAGTCCGAGAAAGCAGCTTTACATGCCTCCCCAATGTGATCACATGCCATCATTGAACAGTGTTCAGCCATAGCTAAAGCCATGATGGCTTCAGCCTTTTTTGCAGGGTCAATTGTTTTAGTTTTCAATAATGGCAGCTTGCTTTGAGTGGCACTGTCATAAGGCTTTGCCTTTTGAGTATGTTTTTGGGTTTTAACATGCTTCTTGATGTCAGACAGATTGGCATAGAAATCCCCCTTACAATAAAGGCAGTATGCCCGTGTGTCATCTCCAATAAATGGCTTCAACCATCCTTTATATTCAGGGTTTGATTCCCACTCCTTTCTGTATTTTTGAGAATACAATTTAGACTGTGCCATGATGTTTAGCTTGTCACAGAGAGGCACACACACAGTGGACGAGGTGATTGAGTGACTGAGGCTGTGTGAGTCAAAGCAAAGCAAAGGCAGTTATTTATTATAGTGTGAAAGTGAGTGAAGAAACATTTACATTTTACATTTAAATCCCGCTCAAAACCAGGACGGCTTGGCAGTTGGCGCATGCGCAATTCATTTGCAGTCTCGACGCGGGGGAGTGTGGTTGTCTCCTCTCTGCTCTGACTGCAGCAGCAGCTCTGCTGCGGCCAGGCAACTGTCAGTCTGAGCGCCTGTGAGTACTATGGGAGGCAGGCGGGGCTCCCGGCAGCACCCGCGGCTCGTTAACTGCAGAACAATACGTGAGTCTCCAAACACCAGAAAAGTCCCTAATAACACCATTATAAATCGTTAGATTAGTCGTTAGTCGCTTTTGACACAAATAAGTAGCCGGAGGGTTTGGAAAGCCGCCAAATTTAACGAGAAAATCGCCAAGTTGGCAACACTGGCTGGGAGTCCCAGCAGCTTCTACTGAAGCCAGTCCCCAACTCCGGGGATTTCCGGCCGGGGATTTTGGGCGGCAGCAGCGCCATGTATATGCCGTGAAGTGGTTTGCGGCCTGCCAGTAAACCCAAAGCAGAAGAAGAAGAAGTGACGACAGCGGCTTCATTTGCCTAATCCTCCCCCAGGGACTTATTCCGGTGTGAACGCGATCTGTACTTAGTTCTGATGAACCTTTGTGGGAAAAGTACTGCGGTGTGAATGCGCCTAAAGGTCCAACCTCTGAAGAATCGCTGCAAAGAGGAACAGGAAGTCTCACACCGCGGTATTCTCGTTTGAGGGCGTGGCATGACCGTGGCATTGACAAAAGCATTTTTATGAAGTTTTCCAAAATGTATTCATAAGAAAGTTCAGAAAATGTGATATTAATTTACAAATTAATAAGTTCTTAAAACATGTTCTCATTGTTGCTTAAGTGTTACTTATTTAAACGCACATTGAAAATAAAACTAATTTAGGGCAAGTAAATTACATTAAACATTTTTAGTTTTGTTGACCTCACCATCGGAACTGTTTTTACAGTGTATGGGCTGTTCTAGAGTCTTTGGGATTAGGTAAGGGGTTCATACATATGATCAAAGTACTTTATTCTGCCCCTTCAGCAATGATTTTAACAGGCAAAACTATCTCGTCGCTTTTTTCTGTAGCAAGGTCATCCAGACAGGGCTGGCCCTTGAGTCCAGGGCTCTTCGCCCTCTCGCTCGAGCCACTGGCCCAATTTATTAGACAATCACAGGATATTATCCCCATTTCTATCCAAGGCTCGCTTCATCACATTGCCCAGTACGCGGACGCTGTACTGATTTGTATGCGGAACCCCTCAACGTCTACAACTCGTCTGCTTAGTGTAATAGAGGAATTTGGCAACCTATCAGGTTTTAAGATTAATTGGCCCAAGTCTGCCTTTTTGCCTCTCAACAATGCTGCCAAATCAGCTATTCTCCCTGCAAACATTCCAGTGGTAGAACATTTCAAATATCTTGGTGTTGAAATATTCCCAAACCTTAACAAGACTATAAATAATAATTATACAGACACGTACAACAAGGTTCTCCAGGACATCAATAGGTGGTCGAGCCAGCCCAACTCACTACAAGCCAGAGCTTCAATAATTAAAATGAATATACTGCCTAGAGTTAATTGTATTAGTTCAATGCTTCCTTTATCGCCCCCCAATGGTCATTGGCAGAAACTACAGTCTGCAATTTCAAAATGTATTTGGAACAACAAGCGGCCTAGACTCAAAATGTCCACTACTCAACGAAGGAGGCTTGATAGGGGCTGGCAGTACCACATTTTAAATTGTATTTCTGGTCCTTTTCATTAATACCTTTGATTAATTGGTTTGACCCCCAGGCTGTGGTTTCATGGCGGGCTTTAGAAGAGAAGTTAGTCAGACTTCAGGGCATAATTTACACAAACATATCTATCAAACAATGTCAGCTTAGATTTGGCCCTCTGATTACTCATGTAATTCAGACTTGGCGAAATGCACAGAAATTATGCGCATTTCAATGCTTCAATTCGCCAATATTTAATAACAACCAATTACTCATAGGGCGGAGGCCTATTAATTATTCCCAATGGGGGAGGAAGGGTCTTCACACCTTGGAAGATATTTAAAGTGACAGTGGTCTCCGCTCTTTTCAGGATCTTAAAGGCTGTTATGACCTTCCAGGCACCTCTTTCTTTTGTTATCTACAGTTTAGGACAGCCCTTAAGGCTTATGGGATTCCGTGGGATCAACAATTAGCACGGCACCCATTCCACATACTCATCACTGATAGAAGAACATCCAGGGGCTTTGTCTCTATGTTTTATACTCACCTACTTGAGTCCTCTTATGGTGACCTTCCCTTAGATAGACTGTGGAGGAAGGATGTCCCAGAATTGAGACCTGATTTTAACTGGGATTCAGTCTGGGCTAACATTCGGCAGGCGTCTCGCAATCCCGACCACCAACAAATCCACCTGAACTATGTGCATAGAACTTACCTGACACCCAGACGGCTGCATATGATGGCTCTTCTGGCAGATGCTCTGTGTACCCTGTGCTTCATGGGGGCTCCTGGTACATTTCTCCATATGTTCAGGGAATGCCCGCCTGTTGCTCGCTTTTGGAACGGGGTCTCCTCTAAGTTGTCCGACATATTTTCTTTGACTGTACCTGTATCTGTGTTTCTTTTAAATGACTTATCTCAGCTGCCGGCTACTGGGTACCAGAAAATACCTCTATGCTGGCCTTACGGCTGCCAAGAAATTGGGTACTATGAGGTGGAAACAACCCGACAAGCTCTCAGTGACCTGCTGGTTACTAACGTTTCTTGACGTAGTCTACATGGAACTGTCCACTGCACGCGTGATAGGAGTTAAGTAGTCCAATATCGGTTTATGGGTGTCGACAGCTGAACAATAGAAGGAGCGGATCTAGCTATCTTAACTGATATAGTTGTTTGCAGTCATTGGTCCTGAGAGGTCCTGGGATTGGGGGTGGGAGGGTTTATTTACTTTTTTTTTTTCTTTTTTTTTCCTTACTTTTGTCCGCTTGTCTGATTGTTGTGGCTTGTTTTTTCTGTATTTTTTGTAATTTGTGTTGTGATTGTACATTGTATTTTACTAAATGTGTGAATAAAAACATTTGATAAAAAAAAAAGATATAAGAATATGAACACTGTGTTCACATGCAAATGCCCTCAAGCAAACCGTTTTTAATTGGGGCACAAATGATGTTTAGATTCGATGACCCAGTATAATAGACATCATTAATACATAGTACTAATGGGAAATACCTGTGCATGATTAGGTGATTAGTCTGGATGTCGTTTCCTGTTGATCCTGACTTTATTTTTGTTCTCTTGTGTGCCCTTTCCAGGACAGAGTATGCCATCTGCACCTTTCCACAGAATCCTACGACCCCTTCTGCTCGGCACGTTCATACTGGGATGCTTTGTGACTCTGTTTTTTATGTATTTTAAACCATCCACCAGCTGGTTATCAGGTCATTTCGAGTCAACAGTATACACAGACCGGGAAAAGAGCCTCTTCTCCACCGTCAGTGATAAAAACGTGACCACCGTGCTGATCTGGCTCTGGCCTTTTGGACATACATATGAACTGGGCGTGTGCAGCTCCCTATTTAACATCGAGGGCTGTTTCATCACCGCGGACAGGAACTTCTACAACAAGTCGGATGGGGTCATCATCCATCACGGAGACATTAGTACCGACCTGTCCAATCTGCCGCCTGTCCAGCGACCATCCTTCCAGAAGTGGGTATGGATGAACTTGGAGTCGCCGACGCACTCCTCCCAGCTCCCTGGGATCGTGAAGATGTTCAATCTGACTCTCAATTACCGTCAGGATGCTGATATTGAAGTGCCTTATGGGTCCATCGTAGCAGCGGAGGGCGAGGAGGACTTTGTCCCACCCAGCAAAAACAAACTGATCTGCTGGATTGTGAGCAACTGGAACCAGAACCATGTGCGTGTGAAATACTACAATGAGCTGTCCAAACACATTGAGGTTCACGCGTACGGACGAGCCTTTTGGAAGCACATCACTGACCAGGACTACTCTCCCACCATCGCCAGCTGCAAGTTCTACCTGGCTTTTGAGAACTCCATCCACAAGGACTACATTACTGAAAAAATGTATAACCCGCTCTCTGTTGGGTCAGTGCCAGTGGTTCTCGGCCCTCCCCGGCAGAACTACGAGAACTTTATCCAGGGAGACGCCTTCATCCACGTGGACGACTTCACCTCGCCCAAGGAGCTGGCCCATTACCTGTTGATCTTGGACAAGAACGAGGAAATGTACCTCAGGTACTTTGAGTGGAGGCGGCACTTTAAAGTAAAGAAGGCCTATTTCTGGGCAGAGCACACATGCCTGGCTTGTGATTACCTGCGTAGGCACAAGGAGTACAGGGTAGTCAATAACCTTGACAAGTGGTACTGGGGAGAATAGGGCTTTGAAGAGCTATGCAGTGCTTTTTTTATGTTAAAGGCAGTGCTTTAAGATTTGTGTCCTTCAGTTAACTAGATGGTTCATTACTGTTCTGTCAAGATCTCCCAAATTATGTTTTTCTATTGGTTCAGTGGCCCAGTGAGACATCCATCTTGTGTTTTTATTATTATTTGCAAGCCAATTTTGCTACACCGTACTTTGCCTTTTGTGTTATTCACACCCACCTTTTCTTTTGAAAAACTGGGTGACATACTATCGCCCTTTAGTCCCTCTCTCTTGTCTTTCTCTCCTTTCTTTTCTTTTTGAAAGCCTGACTTTGTTAGTCATTGAGACATGTGTACACACATCCCTGCTCCTCACATGCTTTCACTGTCTCCTAGAAAGTGCCGTTTCGGGGAGACCGCTAGGGGCGTCTAATGGAGTAGACGGATCTAACAGGTGGTCCTGATACTTCATAATAAATCCATTAACATCCTGCTATTTTTTGTTCTAATTCGACCAAAACTTGACCCAGTTTATTATTAAAGCTATCTGTGATCTACTATTGGGATATATGCATGGGCGTAGGAAGCATCCTCAATGTTGGTGGGACAATTTGACGGGGGTGTGGGCAGGTGGTGGACCTAACCTCCTCTAGGGGGGTCCGGGGGCATTCTCCCCCGGGAAGGTTTTTTTTTTTTTTAAATGTTGAATGCATCAATCTGGTGCACTTTGAGAGCAAAATTAGGGACTATATCTATGGATACATCTCTCAACACCATATGAAACAGAACTGAACAGATTTATTTTTTCTTTATGCATATTTTACAAATCACTCCCCTTTTAAACTGTAGTATGAGTTGGAATTATTTCATACCTGTTATTCTCTTATTTTGTATAACTATAATGATCATATAAAAGGTGTGCCTTGGAAATACTTGTTTTGCATCAATCTTGATACAGGGTACTTATTATATGTTAGCATGGATTCCTAAAGCTTTTAGTCTACTATCCCATCATTCAAGCGTGGTTTTCAATATAAGTCATCTCACGCCTAGACTACTGCAACTCCCTCCTGGCTGGTCTACCTGCATAATGATCAATCATTATAAAACATATCAAATATGGGCGGTTTTGGCGCAGTGGTTAGTTAGAGCGTTGGTCATCAGATCAAGGGGCGTTGGTGAACTCTAGTTCGTGTCCTTGGGCAAGACACTTTACCCGCATTTGCTCCTGTGGGTAATGTCCGCAGTAATGACTCTTACATGTCTAATATGTGTAATGTGTACTTGTAAAGCGCTTTGAGCACCTGTAAAAGCGCTCTAATAAAAAAAATGTAATGCATCATTATTATTATTATTATTATATATATTATTCTGAAATGGACCAATCTGCACAATGATTACTTTTACTGTCTTTAACTATATTTTGATGAGAATACTTTTCTACTTTTACTTGAGGAACATTTTGAATGCAGGACTTTTACTGTGAGAGAGTATTCCTACACTCTGGTACTTCTACTTTTACTCAAGTACAAGATCTGAGTACTTATAATTTCACAACAAGATCTGAGTACTTATAATTTCACAACAATATCTGAGTACTTATTCCACCTCTAGTAGTGTATTAGTCTGAATTGTACCCACAAAATCACGCAGAGCTGCATACAAATAGACTCACAATGGTAACAAGTGGAAAATAATATTTACAAATGTGTACAATGATTTGGAGGTAATTCTGACTACTCAAGACACCTGACTTAGACATCTTCAAAGGAAGACTGTGTTCATTGTACAATTACATGGGATTAAAGCAAAATGTAGTTTTACTTGTATAATACTTCAATTTTATATAAAAGACAGTTTGTTTTCATCTGTTTTCAAATAAACAAAGTCTTGGCTTTCAGAATATTAAACTTGTTTCGGCAAATTCAGATGATAAATACAACTTTGAAGCTTCGGCATAATTACAAGCAGAGAACGGACTAATGTAACATCACAGCAAGCATAACAACAGCCGGTGTTTCTTGTGAGTGTTTCCCCGGTACACAAACGCAAAAATACACAAACACACTCGCGAGCTTCCCCCAGACCAGTAATACAAACGAAAATGTGTCTTCGGGTGAATGTGACTGATTTCGATAGAGCAAGTCATATTTGGTTTAGGCACGAAACATACTACCAGTAGAAATACATTGCTTTCAAAATCGCTCTGTGTCGAATCAATAGATTATATTTCGTGACTATAACACGAAATGCCGTGAGTGCTTCATCCTCTGAACACCACAGGATGGCAACTGTAACGCACATAACATAGGTACGCTCCTCTGAAATGGTTGTCCCCTGCAATTATTATTATCCCTCAATCGAGTTCGCTATTCAGCTAGCTAACGTTAGCTTAAACAAACGTAACATGCAACGTTAGCCTAATCTAAAATGCTCTACGGCGTACCTTTCATGTGGCTCGTCAGCGCAGACTCTCTCATCGTTATGTTGCAAACTTTGCAGGAGGCTACTCGTGGGCTTGACCCTCGTCTTAGCCATGGCTTGTATTTGTCTTCTGCTAGCCAACGCTCGTTGAAACTGCAACCTCCTGGCACACAGTCATCTATCACTCTCATCAGAATGCCCAGGTCACACGCAACACAAACACTTGCAGGTCGCGCGCATAGCGCGGGAAGGCCGCAGCGGAGATGTTTTATGTAGAAGCGAAGCAATGCTTTTCTTTTCATCTAAAAAGTGAACTATTCAGTCAGACAGCAATTTATTGTAAAAGTAAAGCATTTACATTTTCAAGCACTTTCTCAATTTCAAGCACTATTCCCAATATTCAAGCACTTTCCCAACCTTGAAAACACCACGTCAAATTTCAAGCATTTTCAAGGATTTCAAGCACCCGTACGAACCCTGTTATTAGCAATTCCGAGCGTTCTAAACCCAGCGCGAGCTATGGTGCACACTGCAACCCTCCTGCGTGTGAGTATCTTTGAAATGCTTCTGACGATTATGAAATACTATTTCATAATAATTGTAGAGTATTTATTTAATTAGTTCTGGCATCTTTTGTATTCCACAGTGTCACACATCACAGTTTTAAATCTTTCCGCACTCTACAAATGACAAAATAAAATTGAAATAATCCACATGAATAAATATGTATTGGATTACATCCAAAACGACACCGTCATTTTCCACATAGCTGACACTAGCCCGCCAAACCCTGGCTAGCAGCTGAAACCAGCTAGCCCACAGCTAGTTAGCTACTATTCCTGAAAGGTTCGGTTTTAAAATCAGAACTACAAGTTACTTACACAAAGAAGCTAAACCGGAGGGTTCATTAACATTAAGAAATACAATATAGATTACTTTAGGGCTAACTAGAAAAGATACCAGAATTGATGGAGGGTAAATTAAAACATGACTGACCTGCTTGGAGCATCAAGCTAACTGAAGCTGGACTCAGACGTGCGACAGCAAAATACACCCCCGGGTACAAAATAAAAGGTATGCATAAACAAACAAGGCGGAACCAATTTACATATGAAAATAATATATCATTTTGGTGAAGTTCACAATAACAGAAAATAAAGATTTTCAAGTCTACAAATAGCCAAAATAAAAAGTCATAGAATAGCAATTTTATTTAAAAAAAAAAAATGTTTTTGTTATTTTGGCGCTGAATATATGTGCAGCTATCATACCTCCAAAGGTGAACAAGACGACTGCTAGCTTAACCAGTAGCATGGTTGAGGCTAAGGATCAACGCAACGAGATGCTAGAGGACATCCGCGGTATGTAAGGGAAGTGATTCAGGATGAAGTTTCCTCGCTCAAGACAGACATTCAGCTTGCAATTGCACCAGTAAGAGCTGAATTGGATCAAATCAAATCAAGTTTTATTTATATAGCACATTTATAAACGATTTTTGGTCAAGCCAAAGTGCTGTACATATAATAAAAATAGCCTACAGTAGAGACACTTTACAGCAAATACAACAGCACAGATTGTTCAAAATATCAGTATGAGAAAAACGACACCCTCTCTAACTTCCAGAGAAAAACCCACAGTTTAAAGGGGAAAAAATGGGAGAAACCTCAGGGAGAGCAACAGAGGAGGGATCCCTCTCCCAGGACGGACAGACGTGCAATAGATGCCGTGTGTAAATCGAAGAGATAATACATTTTACAGCATATAGACTGATTTGGATGAATGTAAGACTCAACTTGCTGATCATGAGGAAGGTTTAAACACCCTGGCCGCCCGGATTGACTCTCTGGAAGCCCGCAGTACTCAGCTAGCTAAAGACAACGCTAAATTACAATTGAAAACAGACGACCTGGAGAATAGAGGGAGACGTTGCAATCTACCAACAAGTCCTCCAACTAATACGACCAAATAGGCCAATTGTTCCGACCCATAATACGATCCACGGGAGCGTTTTCAATCAACGGGAGAGTCAGCCTGTCAACCTTGTCTCCTAAAAATGTCGTTCCCCCAGAACTAAACTGCATTCTCAATTACGTTGAATTAGAAACGTATTTTCTCCCACGTTACGTTTGTTATGAACGTATCTCAAATACGTTTACAGTGGGGCAAAAAAGTATTTAGTCAGCCACCAATTGTGCAAGTTCTCCCACTTAAAAAGATGAGAGAGGCCTGTCATTTTCATCCTAGGTACACTTCAACTATGAGAGACAGAATGGGGGGAAAGAATCCAGGAAATCACATTGTAGGATTTTTAATCAGACGGCCCGGGGGCAAGGCAGAGTCCATGGAGGGGCGAAGACCACAGCGGGCGAACTCAGGGGGCCGAGCATGAGGGCAAAGGCAGCGGCAGGAAGAATCAGGGGGCCGGGTCCGAGGGCGAGGACCGCGGCTGGGAAAGTCTGGGGACCGGGCTCGAGGGCGAAGACCGCGGCACTCAGGGGGCCGGGCTCGAGTGCGAAGACCGCGGCTCTCAGGGGGCCGGGCCCGAGGGCGAAGACCGGACAGCTCCGGAGGCCGGGCAGGAGCCGGTGTCGACCGGACAGGATCCAGAGCCGGTGGGACAGGCGTCGGCAAGATCCCCCACGGAAGAGGACACAGGGCCGGCAGGACCCCCGGCAGGAGAGCAGTCGGCGGAACCTCCAACGGCACAGGACATAGGGTTGGCAGGACCCCCGGCAGAAGAGTAGTCTGCAGGACCTCCAACGGCACAGGACATAGGGTTGGCAGGACCCCCGGCAGAAGAGTAGTCGGCGGGACCCCCAACGGGACAGGACATGGAGTTGGCAGAACCCCCAGCAGGAGAGCAGTCGGCGGGATCCCCAACGGGACAGGACATGGAGTTGGCAGGACCCCCAGCGGAACCTCCAACGGCACAGGACATCGGGTTGGCAGGACCCCCGGCAGGAGAGCAGTCGGTGGGATCCCCAACGGGACAGGACATGGAGTTGGCAGGACCCCCAGCGGAACCTCCAACGGCACAGGACATCGGGTTGGCAGGACCCCCAGCGGAACCTCCAACGGCACTTGAGTAGGGACTTGAGTGGGGACTCGAGAGAGGGCTTGAGAGGGAACTCGAGAGGAAACTTGAGAGTTGACTTGAGAGGGGACTCGATAGGGAACTCGAGAGGTGACTTGAGAGGAGACTCGATAGGGAACTCGAGAGGTGACTCGATAGGGAACTCGAGAGGAGACTCGAGAGGTGACTTGAGAGGTAACTCGAGAGGGGACTTGAGAAAGAACTCGAGAGGGGACTTGAGAAAGAACTCGAGAGGGGTCTTGAGAGGGGACTTGAGAAAGAACTCGAGAGGAGACTTGAGAGGAGACTTGAGAGGGGACCCGAGAAGAGACTCGAGAGGGGACCTGAGAGGGAACTTGAGAGGGAACTCGAGAGGAGACTTGAGAGGGAACTCGAGCTGTGACTTGAGAGGGAACTCGATAGGGAACTCGAGAGGTGACTTGAGAGGGGACTCGATAGGGAACTCGAGAGGGGACTCGATAGGGAACTTGAGAGGAGACTCGAGAGGTGACTTGAGAGGGAACTTGAGAGGGAACTCGAGAGGGGACTTGAGAGGGAACTTGAGAGGGAACTTGAGAGGGGACTCGAGAAGGAACTTGAGAGGAGACTTGAGAGGGAACTCGAGAGGAGACTGAGAGGGGACTTGAGAAGAGACCTGAGAGGGAACTCGAGAGGAGACTTGAGAGGGAACTCGAGAGGGGACTTGAGAGGAGACTCGAGAAGAGACTTGAGAGGGAACTCGAGAGGAGACTCGAGAGGAGACTCGAGAGGGTACTCGAGAGGGTTCTTGAGAGGGGACTCGAGAGGGAACTCGAGAGGAGACTTGAGAGGGGACTCGAGAGGGGACTTGAGAGGGAACTGGAGAGGTGACTTGAGACGGCCGGTACACCGACAGGACTCGGGGAGCTGGCGTCGGCTGGAGAGCCAACAGGAGACGAGGTGCTGGAGTCGGCCGGTATGCCGACAGGACACGGGGAGCTGGCGTCGGCCGGTACGCCGACAGGACAGGAGGAGCTGGCGTCGGCCGGAGAGCCAACAGGAGACGAGGGGCTGGAGTCGGCCGGTACGCCGACAGGACAAGGCGAGCTGGCGTCGGCCGGAGAGCCAGTACTGGAGCCGAAACTGGAGTCGGGACCATGGCTACTGGGGCCGGTACTGAAGCCGGAACCATGGCTGCTGGGGCCGGAACTGGGGCCGGAACAAGCGGCAAACTCTGGGGAACAGCCGGGACGCCAATACGGAAGTGCCACACGTTGCAGTGCATACATGGGCCGCTAGAGACTGGCTGCAGAAAGGAGCAATTTCCATAGACCCCCATGTTAAAATGCCCAACTTTACAGTAGAAAAAAACATGTTTCTACCCATGGATGCAATACATATTATTATCGATATAGTTAGATTCCAACTTCATGATTATGAATCTGTGAGTGAATTGTTTTCTAACACGACCCTTTTATTTATATTAGGTCTTAAAGTTTTTGCATAAATTAGGGCGTGGTCACTTTGATGGACATGTATATGCCTCACTGTCAGCTAACAGCAACTTGTCCACTCTGCTAGGCTACAACCATAGAGGCTACAACGTTAGTTAGTCATAGTACTGTAGTTGACCCTTTAGCTTTAGCCGTGTTCGTGGTGATTGTGCCTTTTAGGGAATATTGTTACAAATACCAGACAATTAAAATGTCGTGCTGTGCGCTTGAATGTACTAACAGAACTAATATTATACAAGTTAACCCCGTTCGCGGGTGTTTGTGTGCTTGGTAGCTTAGCTTGTTACTTATTAGCCAGCTAAGGACGTAACCCTTTATGCATACATATACATTTTAGTTTATGATTCAGCCTTGGGTAAGACTTTTATAGTCTATGGCTATGACGCCCATAATGCTAAACGGGAGCAAATGTTAATAGGGGACCCAATTATCCCATAAATTATGTTGAACAAGGCTTATTAAGCTGAACATCGCCACAATTGTTCTGCTATGTATCGGTACTTCTTTTCTTAACGTGTGAATGACAAGCATTAAGAATACAAAAATATAGCTAATTCTCTTGCAGATTGTCTCATTTGATTATGAATGTAACGTTTATATAGGGGAACTACACTGTTAGCAGTAACTTGGTATGCATGTATGTTAGGGTTGCCAACTTCCAGAAATGGAGAAACGGGACACCCGCGCGCATGCGCGCGAAGATTTTCGGGTTTCTGGTGGATTTAGTTACTTTCTTTTGTTACTTTATTTCGGTGTTAGGGTTATGTTATTTAATTCTCTTGGGGGAGCCAGCCCCCTAGGGTTCGAGGGGTCAAACCCCCCAAAACCCTCAAAATGCATAGAAAACTATGCATACCTATAACACAATACAAACACAATGGTCTTACATCTGCATTAGGCTACTACATCACATTGTACATCAGCATGTTCAAATCGGATAGGTGGGCACATCTGGGCACCTCAATGTACAATTGGCTATTTTGTCCAAAATGTTAAAAAATAAATATTTGAAAAATGGTATTAACTATTGCAAAGTATACATGATGTGAACATGCACGGTACATCATTATTAGACTTAATGTTATCCTTCAACCAACCATTTTCCCATCAATCAGCTCACACACACACACACACACACACACACACACACACACACACACACACACACACACGCACGCACGCACACACACACACACACACATACACACACACACACACACACACACACACACACACACACACACACACACCTGCACTCACGGGCTTTACCCAACTGTGTTTTTCTTCCACTGTTTGTTGTAAGACACAAGTCTTTTCTTTTTAGAAGGGCCAGGGCCCAGAACCACATCCTCTCTCTCTTCTCCTCTTTCATTATCACCTCCTCCACCGGCAGCGCTCATTTTCCCACACGACTGAACAGGCTGACATGCCACACAAACAATGATGCTGCGCCTGCGGCCCACCGGAGAAAATCTCACACACACACACACGTGCGAGCATTGTGCCTGCCCTGTCAACTGTGCGGTCCTAGTGCCCTTCGAATATAGCACACAAACACACAGGCACGCAACTATGGAATGACATTTATGCCAAAATTAAATAAATACATAAATAATTAAATAAATACATATATATATAAATATGGCTATGAAATAAATTCAAAAATAAATAAATTAGGCAATAAATATGTATACATTTACATTTAAATACACTTAATACACAAATAGACTTTTATTTCATTATGACACATTTATTTATTTCAAGAGACTTTTATTTCATAATGACACATTTACTTATTTCAAGAGACTCGTATTTCATAATGACATATTTATTTATTTCAGATGACTTGTATTTCATAATGACGCATTTATTTATTTCAAGAGACTCGTATTTCATAATGGCGCATTTATTATTTCATGTGACTTGTATTTCATGATGAGACATTTCCATTCCTTACATGCAAATGAACGGGGCGTGGTTAGCTCACAGATCCAGACCAAAGCAACAGCACCACAACACTGACTCAATAGCTTTTGTTTCACACTCCAGTACTCTTAAGTGGTTTGCAAACTGCCAATAAACCAAACCGGTTCAAGAACCATTCTTGTGCTTTTCTGGTGCTTAACTGGTTCTTCTCTGGTCCGCCCAATGCTGCTCTTCTGAGAGCAACCGCTCTGACGGCTCTCTCTAGTCTCTACTGGGAAACAGCTAAAAGTCCTTCTGGAGGTAAGCAACGCTACACAATTACACCCAGTCTGAGAATAAAATATGTCTCGAAGGTTCGTTTTGCTTTCTTACAACGTTAAGTTAATGTTAACGTAACCTTACGTTTGCTAGGAGGCTATTGTTACGAGCTAGCTGTCTTAGCTAACAACAGTTAGCAGCTAACGTTTTCTGCAGTTTGTGTTGCCCCTGAAAAACGTGATGTAGTTATTTAAGGGTTATGTTAAATTAACGTTATTTTACAAGTTGAGAGAGTTAAGTTGTGTTTAAAATCGTCAATGTAATGCACGTTAGAGGTTTTTAGTTGGACATGAAGTTAGCTAACGTTAGCTAACTCTACCAGGTTAGCATGTTAAGCTGTACTTTCTGTGGCAGCTAGCTTAATACAAAGAGGGGTTTTGTGCTTCATTGCAATGCAAACTTTTCTTTGTTAATCTACATGAAACTGTAGGGACAGTTTGTTTCTACTCAACTATACAGACCATTGTTGAGGAGATGCAAAACATACTGTACATGAGTTGGGTCCAACATATACCTTGAGTAATGTTACTTTGCTGCTAAAAATGAAACATCATTATCAGATGAGGTCATCACCAAAGTGTGTGAGTCTGTCAGGGGATTTGATCTGTTCCCTGCATGTCGTAAACACTGCTCTGGTATTACTTATCTTGTAACATGTAAGCCTCCCGCTCTTGTCATCGGTCAGGCTTTGCATTTGAATTCCTATGACTGGTTGCGGACTTGAAGGGAACGCCTTCCTGACATCCAGGAAAAAGGTGAGATTCTAATACATTTGAATGCCAAAAGCAAGTTATTATTTTCAACTTTTTTAATATGATTGTTTTGGGGCATTTCAGTTTTATTGGACAGAGGCAGTAGATATCTACTGGAAACAGTAGAGAGGGAGGAGATGATATGCAGCAAAAGGCCCAGCCGGATGGTTGCTGCTCCGTGTGGAACGTGTTCTATCGGTAAAGCACTTTGGTACCCAGTTATTTATGGTATTGAGTTTGAATTTAGCCTTTGCAATGTAATTTCCAACAGTGCATTGTAAAGACTGAAAGATGTAAAGCTTGACATGATTTCGTCTTTTACTTAAGAAGGTGTTTGTCCTCCTGTCTTCTCTTATTTCCTTATCTTTCTTTCAGGTGTAACATCTACCAATGGTTGTACATGACAGAGACCTCCTCCACCTCTTTGCTGTCTTACTAGTCAATCCTTCTGATCAGGTCCTTTCCTAAATAGTGGTAAGTTTTACAGTTCAGTGTACGTTCAATTAGCAACTTAATGCTTTACCGCTGTTGAATAAATCTTATATTGCTAGTCATTTTATTAAAACTACGATTTGTAAACCAATTACAATAATCCTTTTGTTATAATTGTAAAACATATCTTAACATCCATCAGCAATCAATAAAACAAATCATCCAACACTAAATAGAAGAAATCTGGACATATTTCTTTTTATACAGCAGCATGTTTTGGGAGTGCTCATTGATGTCATCAAGAGCCATTGAGTCTACCTTTTGTAGTCGGCCTCTTAGAATGTTTATCATTTATTTGTATCTTAACATTCCTATAATAATTAGTTTTTTTATTGTTGATATTGTTTATTTTTGTTGTGAGAATCACTTTGCAATTATTGTGTAAGTGCTATATAAATAGTTATACTAATATTATTGTTGTTACCATCATTACTATTATTAATAATGTCTTCTTTGTTTTCTTTATTCATCGCTGCAGAAAGGATCATGCCAGCCCACATCAAACACCTGATCAAGAACTTGTGAATCTCACTGCTGCGGACACCTGTGTGATATTCCACTCTGACTGGAACCCTCAAAATGACATGCAGGTACGATATATATATCTGTTCTGTCTGTCCTAAAGATAGTTCAATAGGACTACAACAACAGCAGTCTTTCCGTTTATTCCCTCGGTTCTTTAAGTGTATATTATTTTCCAATTTAATGCTTAAAAACGTTGAACAGCAGCTGCACATGATGCTCTTTTGACCCCTCTTTTAATTTTTTATTTCAGGCTCAAGCTCGGTGTCATCGTTTTGGCCAGTCTAAGGCGGTGAAGGTGTACCGTCTGATCACTAGAAACTATGAGAGGGAAATGCTGGATAAAGCTAGTCTGAAGCTCGGGCTGGACTGTGCCGTACTGCAGAGCATGAGTGGGAACAAAGAAGGCAACAACAACGGGGTGAGAAAAAGAAAATCTGTCATATTTCTAGATGCCAAGTCATTTTTGGGTCAGTCGCTGTTGCAGTACGCTTAGTTTATTTTCGAAAATAGTTTTCTAAATCCACTTGTGTAAATGTCTCTCTGCGTCGCCTTTAGCCGGTCCAGCAGTTCTCCAAGAAGGAGATCGAGGACCTGCTGAGGAAAGGAGCCTACGCCGCCATCATGGACGAGAATGACGAAGGCAATCGCTTCTGCTAGGAGGACATCGACCAGATCCTGCAGCGAAGAGCCACCATCATCACCATCACCAGGTATGTTCTTAGCAGCACTAGCCACTTGCTCTTTGTGAGACACCAAGTACTTGGTTATTTGAAATGTAATATTGATGATGTAATAATTAAAACTAGGGATGGGTACCGAGCCCCAGTATTAACGGGGCCCCGGGGCAGAATTATTAAAGACCGTGGTACCGTTAACGTCCAACGTTCTCGATCTTTTTATCGGTACTGGAGACATTTAAAAAATAGATGTCATATGTATTATATCTACATAAACATTATATCGCAGTCTTACTGTCGCCAACTCCGTTTCTAATATGCAATAAGACTACAAAGTGTGTCTATGATTTATTTTCGATCTTTCCAATCCAGACGAGAGATCTCTCTCCCCTGTCGGTGTGCGAGGGGGCGGGGCAGTTTACAAACAGAACCTGCTACATCCATGCAACACACACACACACACACACACACACACACACACACACACACACACACGGCGGAGAGAACTAAGCGCCCCGAGGGTAGTTATGTTACCCGTCTTGAGCATGGATGTATAATAAGAACTGGATACAGCGTCGGAGGAGGGGTCTCGTTATTTCCTATGAGAGCTGCTCATTGGCGCATGAAGTAAAAATGGCCCAACTTTTGAGAGAGCGAAACGTCACAGATTACCCGTCATGCCTGGCTGTCAGAGCAGAAGAACCCGTTTGTGTGCTCACAGAGCATGCGCCCCTTAAGCCCCGCCCCCGAGCACACACTCTCGGCTCACTAGAATGAATGGAGAGAGAGAATAAATCTAGATTCGGCTTTTAGTGAATTTTACAACTATACAATAGTTCATACTGGGTAGTTTATTTGGTTTCAAAAAAAGTATCCACCGATTTACAGACGTCTCTTTCCCAATGTTAGTCAATGGGGAAAAAATATTTCTGGGCCGGTCGACGTCACAGACTGATAAGGAAATTGTAGTACCACCGTTTGGACACAACGAATATTTTCCTCAGAGTCCGGCACACTTCCTGGGGGCTTGGTCTTGAGGTGGAAAATGCTCGTTGCCAATAGTGAAATAAGAATTTAGCATATAAGGGCGGTAACACGAGCTATTTGTCTAAACATTTAGCAAAAGTGCACCACATTCAGACAGAGGAATGCACCGGGTTCGACTGTCTTTCTAGTAGCTCTGTAGCCCCATCCACGAGTAACGTTTCCACGTCAGGTGTTATGCAGCAACACACAGAGTTAACCCAATGATACAAACATGGCTTAATGATTAGAGGTAACTGAGTTATTTTTTTTTTTTAAGTTTCAGCTATTCTGTTTGCAGTTCTATCATCACATAATTTAATACAATTTGTTAAAACATTGTTGTTTCTTATTTTCAGTTTGCTGCACGAGAAAGACGTGGAGGACCAAGAAATGCTGGCCAGATTGGCAAAGACCGGAAGATACATAACAGAGAAGATAATGGATATTAACAAGAAAAAGAAAACAAATGTTTATAATTTCTTTGTTGCTGTTTACATTTTGAATTATATTTGTTATTTTTAAATCAAATGCATCTATTTTAGATGATATGTTTATTTAGATGTAGGTTTTTTTGGTAATATTATTGTATTAAGTATAATTTATTAAATAAAAATACTGTTATGAACACTATACAATGTCTTTATTTTGATAGTTACCAGAATACATTGTATATTTAATACTAACATAAGCTGGTGATAGATAAATGCTGATCTGCTGGTATGCCAGCAGACAAATATTTATAAAGAAAGAAACAGAAGGGAGGAAATGATGATAGCTAGACTCAGAATGAATCACACAGCATTGAATGGTACGCTGCATGTCATGGGGAAAAGTAACAGTGACAAGTGTAGGAACTGTGGAGTTAAAGAAAAATGTGGAACATCTATAAAGCTGAAAGAGAAAAGCTAAAGGATAACGTTTTAGAGGCAGAGAGGGAATGGAGTGTGGTTGGTATTTTGGGAACAAAGGGAGAGGGAGAAAGAGCTACCAGAAAGGCACTGTTTACCTTTAGTGAAACTGGGGTAGGTACAATTATCTAACATTAGGTCAGGAAAGATCATAGATTGTTGTTTTGTTTTATTTATTATGTTTTTTATTTATTTATTTTTGGATTAGATCATAGATACGTCCATGAGTTAAGAGATGGAATGATATGATGATTCACACTCATGTACAGTAGGTGGCGGTATGCACCTTAAAGTTGTTTGCAATCCGCCAAAAAACCGAGAGAAGAAGAAGTCAACTGGTTTGCCAACGGACAATTTACATCGAAGAAGAAGAAGCGAACATTTCTGGCGGTGACATTTAGAGTATCAGATTACATGCGATGTCTGACCATGTGTCTGACTCTGAGAATTTAGTAGTTTGCCTTATAGTCCTTCTCCATTTTCTTCCTCTTCTCGAGTAGTCAGTGTGGTGCTGTTGCTTTGGTCTGGGTCTCTGGATCTGTGAGCTAACCACGTTCATTTGCATATAAGGAATGGAAATGTCTCATCATGAAATACAAGTCACATGAAATAAATAAATGCGCCATTATGCAATACGAGTCTCTTGAAATAAATAAATGCGTCATTATGAAATACAAGTCATCTGAAATAAATAAATATGTCATTATGAAATACGAGTCTCTTGAAATAAATAAATGTGTCATTATGAAATACAAGTCTCTTGAAATAAATAAATGTGTCATTATGAAATACAAGTCTCTTGAAATAAATAAATGTGTCATTATGAAATAAAAGTCCCATGAAATAAATAAATGTGTATTTAAATGTACATGTATACATATTTATTGCCTAATTTATTTCATAGCCATATTCATATGTATTTATTTAATTATTTATGTATTTATTTAATTTTGGCTTAAATGGCATTCCATACGCAGCAAGACACACTGCATTGCGCGCAAACAGTAACATATTTTTTATATTTCCCTATACACGGGAGTCCGGGACAAACAAAGTCCCGTACGGGACACGCCCCTTTTGGATCAAATACGGGGCGTCCCGGTGTCAGTACCAGATATGTTCGGGCTACCAGATATGTTCGGGTGTATTTCCGTCGCATCCGTCATCCGTCATATTCGTCATATCGTACGGCAACTCAAGAGGGCCATCACGGTCAAATTCCGAACATTTAAACATAGCCGACACTTCATTCTTTACTTTGTCCGTTATTATATGTAGAAGATTATACTTTTTCTCCGTCATGTTGTTTCCTTAGCAACAACTTCAAACAGGCATAGCCTACACTTCATTCTTTACTTTGTCCGTTATTATATGTAGAAGATATTATTTTTTTCTCCGTCATGTTGTTTCCATAGCAACAACTTCAAACAATAACAACTAACCGCTAGCCGCAAAGCTAGCATCACAGCCACTGCTCCGTTTTCGGAGACTTTGCACACGTTTTCACAAACATGTTCACACGCTAGGAGTACTTCCACTAGCTTCGTCTTGATCTGTAGATGTGATTTGATGTGTCGTGTGTCCCCCAACTCCTCTCCAAAGTTCAGATATTTAATAAAATACTCAGGGGAGTTTCCTGAATTTTCATGCCCAAACCCAAGCACTAGGCCCTGGGTAAATTAAGAGGCTGATCTCGGGCACTTTTGTCCATTTTCCCTGGTGGTCGAAACTCAAGCCAGACATCCCTGGAATCGTCTCAGAGAGTAGATGATCAGTGGGGCCTTGTTTTTACTGAATGATGTGTTTTATTTATGGGGAATTAAAATATGAGCTTATTTTTAGGATTTTCGGAGACTTTGCACACGTTTTCACAAACATTTTCACGCTAGTATATAGAGTATGGGAGTACTTCCATTCGCTTCGCCTTGATCTGTAGATGTGATTTGATGTGTCGTGTGTCTCCCAACTCCTCTCCAAAGTTCAGATACTATATATAAAAATACTAAAAGGTAAATAAAACATTAAACATCATGACAAAATAACAACCTGAAATATATGTATTCCATCTACACATTTCGTAATTATGTAATCTAGTGGCCTTAAAAAAGTGTTGGCTAAAGTAACGCAGAATATATATATTTTTTAATTGTAAATAATTAGAAACATTATTTATGTGCACAAGTACATGGGATCCCATCATAGTACGCCACACATAACAAGCTGTCCCGAGTTCCTCCAGCTGCAGTTCCACAGACGGCCGGTGTGTGGCAGCAGAGCGCTGGGAGCGGAGGGAGGTGAGTATATGACGGATATGACGGATGACGGATGCGACGGAAATACACCCGAACATATCTGGTAGCCCGAACATATCTGGTACTGACACCGGCTAATACGGGACGGTTGGCCACCCTAATGTATGTCATGTTAGCTTAGCTTCTTAGCCTGAGCTAGCTCTGTTTACTTCCAGTTCGGAGGCAGCAGGTCCCGCCTCTTTGCCCTTATTTGGAGCAGGCGGGATTAGACTCTGACGTTGCTGTCAAGCCGTTAGTGGCCGACTCCGCCTACTAAGGGCTTCTCGGCAACTCTGCAGAATCCTATCGGCCTCCTTCTGCAGAACACTGGACGCTCCCTTCCACTAATCATAGCAGCAAGCCAAATAAAAGGAAAAATGTTGTAATTCCACCTCAAATGGATCATCTGCTGGGTCCATTTATTGGTTGGTTGGTTCTGTTACGGTAGAGTGAAGCAGGCAGGACTCAAATGCAGAATAAACTGATAACACCTTTATTTCAAGGATATGAATAAAACTCGGACAAAACAGAACACTTGAGAGGGAACTCAGTCACCAACAAAAGACAACCAACACTGAACACAGGAAGAGACAAGACTAAATACAGGGAGGGGTAATCACGGGACGAGAAACAGCCGGGCAGGGGAGGAGAAACACAAGGGCAACAGGTGAACACAATCAGACAATTAGACACACCAGGGAAACTAACGACAGGGAGGAAAAACACAGAGAGAGGGACCACACAATCAACTGGCCAACTTCGGGCCCCAAGCGACATTGTGAGATGAGTCCCCCCACCCAACCGACAAGAGTGAACTTTTTTTTTTGGAAACAAAGTAGGCTACTTTGCAAATATAATTCCTGTTTATTATTATTATCAACACAGTTACTTTTTTATACAGTGAGGTAAATGGTAAATGTGCATGTATGTCGTTCAGTATGCGTTTACAGGTGAATACGTCTGCATTTCCTGCCAAATACTAGCCTAAAAAAGATTAAGATATAATTAATGCTAATAAACTACTTCTACTAATAATAATAATAATAATAATCATAATCAATTCAATAATATAAATACTATATTATTTTATTATATATAGTTGTATATTCAAGACAAAACATGCTTATGACATGTTCAAAAACTGATATTTCTTAAATCTGTAGTCAAACGTAGTTCCCTCTGTCAGCAATGTATCAACAACTACACACACATTTCTATCAGTATTTCTCTGTGTTGTGGTTGACATGATGACTGTTAGGAGTTAAGGGGAGAGGCTGAGCGTCACCATGAAATGTGCAAATTGACATAAAAATGGATAAAAGGAAAATAAATGCTCCATGTTTTTTAGGCTGTAAACTTTAACTGTTATGTAAGCCAACTAGACAGACAGTGTATCACTCTTCCTCCTGTGCATTAGCAGATAAAACGCATCACATACTTGAATGAATGGTAAATAAATAATGCTGGAAATAACTGCATCTCCTATAGCCTGTATGCTATGCAGAGACTGCCTTCTTCATGTCGTGAATTGCAGCTGATGTTTAATATGGCAATTAATTGGCAATTTGACTTATACAACATTCGCAAGTTGTACATTTGACTCATACAATAACCCACCTTCGAGTGACGCTCTAGTTTCTTCATGTTTTGTTTTTTTTTCCCTCTTGCTTGCGCCGGACTGAAACTGTCTTTTCGCCGACATCTCTTCACCTGCACTAGTGGCCGTATCATAGCCGTGATTGGTCAGATGTCGATTCATTGCAACGGTGTCGAGTTACAGACGTGCTCCCCTTGTCACCTCTCACTTTCACTCTCGCGGGGGGGGTGCGCTGAGAGCTGAGCGGAGAACTGCGCACAGCAGCTGAGGCCCTCTGGGCGGGGCCCCCTGCGCAAGGCGGGGCCCCATGCAGCCTGCATGATTGGCCTGTAGGGAGGGGCGGTCCTGCAGACAATACACAAGGGAGACAGGGGCCCTTTCTCATTTCTCTAACTCCCCTCCTCGACTCGACTCCTATCCTCGAGACTTAGTCCCGCCCACAGGAGATGCGAGCCGAAGAGGGGAACCGAGGAGAGAGGAAGGGAAGCAGCAGGCGGTTAGAGAAATGAGAACTTCTCTCCTCTGAGCAGTCATTTTAAAGAGACGTCCATTAATGATGACAGGAGGCACAGCAGCCCTCTGTCTGATGGACAGATGTGTTCATGATGACTTATATATTTACTTTGATTCATTCACAGTGCGTTATAATGAGACGATAACAGGCTACAGATGCGGACACACACACATACACACACACACACACACACACACACATATATATATATATATATATATGTATATATTTATATAAGTATATACAATTTCAGAATCAAACAGAGCACTCTCATAATAACGTAACACTATCAGAGACTGGATATATCCCCCCCCCCTCCCCTCTCTGGTCGCTACAATGAGGAAAATAAATTACGGGCCAAAAGTTTTATTTACAAGTATTAAAAGTAAGCAGAGGACACCAAACCAACTGAGACCTGTCTGTCCGCTGCATCTACACACACACTGTAGGCCAGGGGTGGGAAACCTTTTTCCTCTCAAGGGCCATTTCAATTTTTACAACATCCTCCGAGGGCCGTACAAATGATTGAACTCAACGTCTGCTTATTCATTTCGCCTTTCTTTCATGCTGTGCAAAGAAAAAGCAACCTCTTAATCCAGATATTTGACCATGACCCGCGCATGCATGCACCGTGGCATGACAACCAAAGCAGAAGTATCTGGACACAAGATGTGTGCAAATGTATTTAGTTTCATATCCATGTGGACATGATTTAAGTGTGGGGGGTGGGGGGGGTCTAACCTCATCTAGGGGGGTTTGGGGGCATGCACCACCAGGAAGATATTTTTTAAATGTTGAAGTTAAAAGCATCTATCTGGTGCATTTTGAGAGTAAAATTAATAGATCTATGGATACATCTCTCAACACCCATATGAAACAGAACTCTAAGCAGATTTTTTTCTTTATGGATATTTTACAAATCACTCCCCTTTCAATATATTCTTGTTTATT